GAAGCTAAGTTTTAGAGAAACTGCCCAGATCTCCATTCTGCTATAAAGCAACCAGTAATAACAACTTGTTTGTATATTATTTAACAGTTGACAAATTATTTTTTATACTCTTTCTGTTTTTTCTGTTTCGAAACAGGGTCTTGTTCTGTCACCCAGGCTAGAGGGTAATGATGTTATTATGGCTTCTTGCAGTCTTGACCTCCTAGGCTCAAACATCCTCCCACTTCAGCTTCCCAAGTAGCTGGGACTACAGGCATGCGCAACCATGCCCAGCTAATTTTTTATTTTTTTTATTTTTTTATTTTTTAGATATGTGGTCTTGCTCTGTTTCCCAGGGTGGTGTTGAACTCCTAGCCTCAAGCAGTCCTTCCATCTTGGCCTCAAAGTGCTGGAATTATAGGTTGAGCTGCCATGCCCAGCCCTCTTTCTTTTTAACTTTAATACTTTCAGTAATATTCCCTCAATTTGGGTGACTGGAACATATTATGTATACAATCTAAATTCTAAGACTAGATATAAATAGTATCAAAGGACAGGTCCTTACTGACATTGGAAGTCCAAGTCTACACCCCCTTATTGAGACTGAAGTTTGGGCTAGGTTGTATATCCACTGCTTGATACTAGACTTGGCATTTAAACTGTGCCTCTTCTCCGCTGAAGTTTCTTAAGCTTGTTAGACATTAAACTGAGGTATGTAGCCATGCAATTCAAATCAGCCTTAGTCTTAATTTAAAAGGGAGTAGTTATTGTTTTTTGACCTCTGTCAGACAAGAGGAGCTATGTTTTGATGATAGTGTAGACTTTGTATTATAGAATAAATTGTGTAATAAAAGCTAAGTACATGTTTGTTGAATTAATAATCAGGACCTTGTTAATTGTCTAGTCCATCATCTTGAGCAATCTAATTATCTTATGAATGACTTCTTCTAGTTCATTCATTGATAAAAAATTATTATTATTATTATTATTATTTTTTTTTTTTTTTGAGACGGAGTTTCGCTCTTGTTACCCAGGCTGGAGTGCAATGGCGCGATCTCGGCTCACCGCAACCTCCACCTCCTGGGTTCAGGCAATTCTCCTGCCTCAGCCTCCTGAGTAGCTGGGATTACAGGCACGCGCCACCATGCCCAGCTAATTTTTTGTATTTTTAGTAGAGACGGGGTTTCACTATGTTGACCAGGTTGGTCTCGATCTCTTGACCTCGTGATCCACCCGCCTCGGCCTCCCAAAGTGCTGGGATTACAGGCTTGAGCCAATCAGTTCCAATCAGTTCCGGAACCAGAAGTGAATGTGACACCCCTCCCTCTCACTCCTCTCACCCTCTGCTTTACTCTCATGTGGCAAACGTGCAGCTCGTGATGTGAGTGCCCCAGAAGCTGCCTCTGTGGTTTGGTCACTGTGTGCATCGCATTATTCCGTAAATGTGGCAGATGCAGCCTGCGGCCAGGCTTTTTATTTAATGTAAATAGTTTTTGTTTCCAATGAGGCAGTTTCTGGTACTCCTATGCAATATTACTCAGCTTTTTTTATTGTAAAAAGAAAAATCAACTCACTGTACGGTGCTGAGAGGGGATGTAGGCCTGTGGGCACCTGGCCTCCAGGAGTCGCTGTGTTGGGAAAGCCAGGCATGCTCTTGGCTTTAGAGCTGTGTTGAAATCCATTTTGGTGGTTGGTTTTTAACCCAAACTCAGCGCATTTTAAAAAAATAGTTAAAAATCCAAGTCGAGAACACTTGAACACACAGAAGGGAGACGCTGCCTAGCATAGATTTGCAGTTACAGCCTGGATGCCAGTCGCCAACCCGGCTGTTCCCCTTGGGAACATGAGGCGGCCGCGCGGCAGACCGCGATCAATTCTGCATGGTCACAATAGAGATCCCGCAACTCGCTCGTCCTTGGGTCACCCTGCATTCCATAGCCATGTGCTTGTCCCTGTGCCCCCATGGTTCCCAGGGGCCAGGCTGGGAGCCCACAGCCACCCCACTCTCCTGCAGGCCGCCCCACCCACCTTCAGGCAGCCTGTGGGAGACAGGGCCCCACCTGTCCCTCGGTCAGCATGTGGCCAGAGTGAGTTCGTCATCCTCAGTACTTGTGCTCGCTCAGACACTTTGGCAGGATGTCTGGGGTCTCACCAGCAGAAGCGCATGCAAGCTGGGCAGGCGTTCCACCTAGACCCACAGCCCTTCGGGAGCATCCCACCTCCGTGTGTGACGTAGCTTTCTTTCCCTCAGCCTGCAAGGGTCCAATTTGCCATTGAAAAAGACAACCTCTACTTTTTTCTTTTGTATTTTGATAAACACTGAAGAAGCTGGAGCTGTTAAATTTATCTTGGAGAAACCTCAGAACTGGTCTATTTGGTGTCCTGGAACCTCTTACTGCTTTCAATACAAGATTAGTAATCAACTGTTTTGTATACTTGTTTTCAGTTTACATTTCGACACAAGCACTGTAATTATAGCTATTAGAATAAAATCTCTTAACTATTAAAAAAAATACTTAAAAATTTGGGGGCGGAGCGTGGTGGCTTACACCTTTAATCCCAGCACTTTGGGAGGCTGAGGTGGGTGGATCACCTGAGGTCAGAAGTTCAACACCAGCCTGGCCAACATGGTAAAACCCCTTCTCTTTTTCTTTTTTCTTTTCTTTTTTTTTTTTTTTTGAGACGGAGTTTCGTTCTTGTTCCCCAGGCTGCAGTGCAATGGCGCGATCTCGGCTCACCGCAACCTCCGCCTCCTGGGTTCAGGCAATTCTCCTGCCTCAGCCTCCTCAGTAGCTGGGATTACAGGCACGCACAACCATGCCCAGCTAATTTTTGTATTTTTAGTAGAGACAGGGTTTCACCATGTTGACCAGTACGGTCTCAATCTCATGACCTCGTGATCCACCCGTCTCAGCCTCCCAAAGTGCTGGGATTATAGGAGTGAGCCACCGCGCCCGGCCAGTAAAACCCCTTCTCTATTAAAAATACAAAAATTAGCTGGGGATGGTGGTGAGTGCCTGTAACCCCAGCTACTTGGGTGACTAAGGCAGTAGAATTGCTTGAACCCAGGAGGCAGAGGTTTCAGTGAGCCGAGATGGTGCCACTGCACTCCAGCCTGGGTGACAAGTGAGATTCTGTCTCAAAAAAAAAAAATTTGGGGCCGGGCGCGGTGGCTCAAGCCTGTAATCCCAGCACTTTGGGAGGCCGAGGCGGGTGGATCACAGGGTCAAGAGATCAAGACCATCCTAGTCAACATGGTGAAACCCTGTCCTTACTAAAAATACAAAAAAGTAGCTAGGCATGGTGGCACATGCCTGTAATCTGACCTACTCAGGAGGCTGAGGCAGGAGAATTGCCTGAACCCAGGAGGCGGAGGTTGCCGTGAGCCGAGATCGCGCCATTGCACTCCAGCCTGGGTAACAAGAGTGAAACTCCGTCTCAAAGAAAAAAAAAAAAAAAATTGGGGGGAAAATAACTTTATTTATTTATTTATTTTGAGACGGAGTTTTGCTCTTGTTACCCAGGCTGGAGTGCAATGCCGTGATCTCGGCTTACTGCAACCTCCGCCTCCTGGGTTCAGGCAATTTTCCTGCCTCAGCCTCCTGAGTAGCTGGGATTACAGGCATGTGCCACCATGCCTAGCTAATTTTTTGTATTTTTAGTAGAGACGGGGTTTCACCATGTTGACCAGGATGGTCTCGATCTCTTGACCTCGTGATCCACCCGCCTCGGCCTCCCAAAGTGCTGGGATTACAGGCTTGAGCCACCGCGCCCGGCCCGGGAAAGTAACTTTCATTCAAAAAGTTTAATACAAGGGGCCGGGCACCGTGGCTCACACCTGTAATCCCAGCATTTTGGGAGGCCGAGGTTGACAGATCACCTGAGGTCCAGAGTTCAAGACCAGTCTGGCCAACATGGTGAAACTCCCTCTCTACTAAAAGTACAAAACACTGGCCAGGCCTCTTGGCAGGTGCCTATAATCCCAGCTATTTGGGAGGCTCAGTCTAGAGAATTGCTTGAACCTGGGAAATGGAGGTTGCAGTGAGCTGAGATTGCATTCCAGCCTGGGCAATAGAGTGAGACTCTGTCTCAAAAAAAAAAGTTAAATATAGGAAAGAAATGTGATTTCTAGAAAAAGAACACATACTTTGACTTAGGGACTTAGATTTAAATCACAGTTCTACTACTTAGGAGTGGTGTGGCATTGGGCAAGTTACATTATCTTCCTGACTCTCAATTTTCTTAGCTCTAAAAGGGTATACATAAAATATTGGTGTGAAGAAATGAGATAATGTATGTAAACAGAGCAGTATATGCTGTGTATGCAATGCATGGTAACTGATGATACTGGCTTCGGGATAACCTTGCCTAAGTCATGTAAGGATGACTGCTTATGTCATGTTCGACGGTTAAATATTTCTATAGCCCTAGTCCACAGAACATGGAAATGGAGAAAAAGCCAGAATCAGAACAAGGAAATAATTGGTTGTCACATTTTTTCCTTGGATGTAAATAGCACCTAAGAATTTCTTGCATTTTCCCAGTGCTTTAAATCTTAACAAGAATGTGGAGATTCCTCTAAGTATTTGTCTCCATATTCAAGTTCTGCAGTATTTGATACTTCCATGGAAAGTACTGTTCACTTTCCAAACTCAATAACTAGGTACGAAATACTGTTCACTTTCCAAACTTAATAACTAGGTATGAAATGCTAATGTTCAAGGAATCATTTACTAGAGGACAGCTTAGTATTTGCTTGTGGGTTGGCTTATTGACGTAATCTGTGTGCTGAATTCACTGGAATGTGGCATGGTCAAATCTGGCTGCTTCTACTACTGAGTTGGTGCAAGAAACACTTGGCAGGTATTAAAGTGCGATTCTTTGCAGTTACTTGGTATAATTTGCCACAGAAGTAAATTCCAGGAGGTAATATTCTTGCTAGGTTACACTCTGTTACCTCCTGATTTAAGGAGTTCAAGCTAAGGGCAATGGTCTCTAATTCAAGGTGAATCTCTTGGCAGCCGGGAAGATTTCCAGAGGATTCCAGAACTTGCCATCAACCCATTGGGGGACCGGATCATCAATGCCTTCTTTCCAGAGGGGTGAGTCAGTTCAGTTTTTGGACTTCGTTCCTGAAGCTATCACAGCCTAAATTATTTGCTAACCTGGAATAATGGTATTGGTTGTGTCATCTCAGACTGTGAGATCCCCTGATTATATTGCGCATTTCTAATTTTGACATTTCTAGAATATCTCTTCTATTCTAACCTACTGTGTGTTTTAAACTTCAAATAGATATATGAGCCTATCTTCAAAATTCTGTCTTTAATCTGTGCTTATTATTGATGTAAAACTAGACTTTAAAAAAATGTTGGCCGGCGCGGTGGCTCAAGCCTGTAATCCCAGCACTTTGGGAGGCCGAGGCGGGTGGATCATGAGGTCGAGAGATCGAGACCATCCTGGTCAATATGGTGAAACCCCGTCTCTACTAAAAATACAAAAAAGTAGCTGGGCATGGTGGCACGTGCCTGTAATCCCAGCTACTCAGGAGGCTGAGGCAGGAGAATTGCCTGAACCCAGGAGGCGGAGGTTGCGGTGAGCCGAGATCGCGCCATTGCACTCCAGCCTGGGTAACAAGAGTGAAACTCCATCTCAAAAAAAAAAAAAAATGTTTATCTGGAAATAATTTCAAATTTACAGAAAAGTTGCAAAGTGAAAAACAGTACAAAGAATAAAAGAATACTTGTATATCTATTGCCCTGATGCATCTCTTGTTATAATGTCAATGTTTTGCCTCATTTGTGTGCTCTCTCTCAGTGGTAGCCAATAAAAATATAATACAAGCCATATAAATAATTATACATTTTCTGGAAACCACATTGAAAAAGTAAAAATAGGCCAGGTGTGATAGCTCATGCCTGTAATCCCAGCAGTTTGGGAGGCCAAGGTGGGTGGATCACCGGGCAGGAGATCGAGATCATCCTGGCTAACACATTGAAACCCTGTCTCTACTAAAAATACAAAAAATTAGCCAGGCGTTGTGGAACACGCCTGTAATCCCAGCTACTCAGGACGCTGAGGCAGAAGAATCGCTTGAACTTGGGAGGCAGAGGTTGCAGTGAGCTGAGATCACGCCACTGCATTCCTGGACGACAGAGCGAGACTCCATCTCAAAAAAAAAAAAGTAAACTTTGGTAATGAGGGAAGGTGTTCTCTTTCCAGGGTCCACAAGGGGGCGTAATTTTAAGGGCAAGCATTTTCCGGTGTCCTGTCCCCGTCCCATCTCTCTCCCTCCGGGAGATTTAATGGTTTATATTTAAATTTCACCGGCTTGGGAAGAAACAAAAAGTCAGTAAATCCAGTGGAAGTTCAAAGAACTCCTTTCATTGGCCAGGAGTCTTAGAGAAGGTGGGGGTTCCTCCCAGGTTAAAAGTCCCCTTCTTCCACATCTCTTTGGACTCCATGTTTGGATCCCCTTCCACGAACACTCTGGTGCTCCTCCAGGAAGCTGTTTTTCTCTCTCCTGGATTTTCTCTCTGGAGTCCCCTGCCACTCCCTTTGTGGAAGCCTGTCTTCCCCTACTAAACTCCATCTCTCTCTATTCCCTTCCACTCAGTGTGGAAGCTGCTTTCCTCTCCTGGATTCCATCTTTCTGGATTCTCTCACTCAGTGTGAGAGTTAGCTATTTATTTCTCTCTCCTTCTCCTGTTTCTCTCTCTCTAAATAAGTCACTTTATTTTTATTTTTTACTTTTTATTTACAAAAAGCTCTAGGCATGGAAAATGAATCGCTTTCTACAAACACTTTTGAGTCTGGCATTTACTGCGCATTGCACTGTGGTCGCCTCTCTCATTCTTGAGAGGATAAGAGACCGAAAACCTGGAGAAAGGTTCTCTCAGGGGAGCTAAGGGCACCCTGAACCCCTGAACCCCAATATTACAGTAATATATATTTTATTTAATATATTTAAAATATTATTTCAATATATAATCAATATTTAAAATAATGGATATTTTCCTTTTTTTTTTCTTTTTGAGACAGAGTCTCACTCTGTGGTCCAGGCTGGAGTGCAGTGGCATGATCTCGGCTCACTGCAACCTCTGCCTCCCGGGTTCAAGCAGTTCTCCTGCCTCAGCCTCTGAGGTAGCTGGGATTATTGGCGCACACCACCACATGCCCAGCTAATTTTTATATTTTCAGTAGAAACAGGGTTTTGCCATGTTGAGGTCAGGCTGTTGTCGAATTCCCGAACCCAGGTGATCTGCCTGTCTCAGCCTCCCAAAGTGCTGGGATTACAGGCGTGAGCCACCATGCCTGGCCTACACGTTTTTGTAATTAGTCTTTGAAATCCAGTGGATAATTTACATTTAAACACATATCAAGTCAGACTGACCATGTTTCCAGCACACATAGCCACATGTGACAAGTTACTGCAGTATTGAACAGTGCAGCTTGTTCTACATACCCTCTTGCTAATGTTCTGCATACCCTCTCTTGTTCTACATACCCTTTCTTGCAGACATTTTTTCCCTGTCTCTCTCCTCTCTCTCTACACACACCCTATGTGTGAATGTATATATATGTACATACATATACTTATGTAATTTTTTGGTGTATGTTTGTTCACATAATTGTATTTCTGAACTATTTAAGGGTAAGTTGCATAGTCATGACCCTTTACCTCGGAATACACCTGTGTGTGTTTGCTAAGAGAAGGGACATTCTTTTACATATCCATAGTATAGTTATCCATTTCAGTAAACTTAACATTGATAAAATACTATTATCTGCGTTCAGATCCTTTCTGAATATTAAAAAAAATACTATTATCTATTACTGTTTTATTAATATATTATCTATCTTATTCTAATTTATATTCATATTCCAATTTTCATCTAATAATTTTTCATCTAATAATTTGTTTTATAGTACTTCCCTGCCTCCGGTACAGGATCTATTCTGGGTCAGTTGTCATGGCTCTTTAGCCTCCTTTAATCTGGAACATTTCCACAGCCTTTATATTACTTTTGTGATACTGAATAAAGATACAGTTCTCATCACACACACACACACACACACACACACACACACACACACTTTGTCAAGTAGATTGTTCTTAATGTGGGATTTTCTAACGTGAAAGTAGTCTTTTGATGTGCTTCACTACCTAATACACTGCCTTCAAAGTGCTGAGTAAATATTTATTGATTTGATTAGGTACCTTTCATGAATAAAGCTTACATATAAGCTTGTTTTAAGTAATTTCCTAAACAGTCTCTTCCTGGTTCATATGAATAGTCTTATGACCCACAGGACTTCAAAATATTATATGGGTGCCAATTATTAATAATGAGACTGTCAGTGAGGACACTGTCAGATAAAATGCCTGGAGTGGAAATTTTAGAACTCTAAATTGAGAGCAAAGGAATTTGCTAGTTGAGAGGGTTGGGCACTCAGTAAATGTGAGCAAAGGTCAGAAGGGGAAGTTAGTTCATGTAAAGGCAGGAATCAAATCATGTTGACAATGAAAAATCTTGTGCCCTCCTTCATTTTTCTCTTTCTCCTTGAACTGGCCTATTTATTTCAGGTGTGGTGTGTCTGCTGAATTCTTCCTTTTCCTACTTCCTCTTTTACCCCTGCAAAGCACTGAACCCTGTCCAGAGATAACTTTAACAGCTAAGCTTTTTATCCAAACCTTTTGCAATGCAAACTAAACCCAGGAGAGTCACTGTGCCAACTTTTTTTCAGAGTTCCTTAGTCACCATTGATTACTTGAAGAAACAAGCTTGTGGGAAGCTGTTTTGTAAGGCTAAACCACATTTGCTCTGACTACAGTATCACCTGCCATTCTGTCCACCAATCGACTGCTAAGGAAATGGGACAGACTGCATACGAAGAAATGGAGGGCTCTTCTGGGCTGCACTGCTTAGCTTTTAGCAAGCTGCACCTCTGCCTCTTGCTCTAATCACATAGATATATTTGGCTTCTGGGTTTTTCTTTCTTCCCTAGTCATATGCACATGGGGCTTTTTAAACATTTTTTTAATTTTAAGAGTGAGGTATGAAAGTGGACCATGGTCATTTAATTCCTTTTTACCCGGAAACTTTATGTTATCAATACTCATTAATGTGTTTTTTCTGGCATATGATTTAAATTTTACTCCACATTACTTGATTTCTCAGATCTTAAATTTTTGACCAGTTACTGGTCCATTGGCAATATAGATACCTTGAAGAACTAAAAGGTCATTCTTTTTTGTTTGTTTGTTTTGTTTTTTTGAGGCAGAGTATCCCTCGGTCACTCAGGCTGGAGTGCAGTGGAATGATATTGGCTCACTGCAACCTTCACCTCCTGGGTTCAACCAATTCTCCTGCCTCAACCTCCCCGAGTATCTGGGACTACAGACATATGCCACCATGCCTGCCTAATGTTTTTTGTATTTTTAGTAGAGATAAGGTTTCGCCATGTTGGACAGGCTCATCTCGAATTCTTGACCTCGATTGATCCGCCCGCCTCGGCTTCCCAAAGTACTGGTATCTGGTCCCAGGAGTGAGCCACCGCGCCCAGCCAAGGTCATTCTTTTGAGTACAGATGGCTCACAGGCTAGCCTTTGAATTGTGCTTTTAGAAAGTTCCTGAATTTCGTGTCTATAGAAGAGACCCTACATACCTCAGCTATTTGGTGGGGCACAGATAGATTTTTGTTTTGTTTTGTTTTGTTTTTTTGAGACGGAGTTTCGCTCTTGTTACCCAGGCTGGAGTGCAATGGCGCCACCTTGGCTCACCGCAACCTCCGCCTCCTGGGTTCAAGCAATTCTCCTGCCTCAGCCTCCTGAGTAGCTGGGATTACAGGCACGCACCACCATGCCCAGCTAATTTTTTGTATTTTTAGTAGAGACGGGGTTTCACCATGTTCACCAGGATGGTCTCGATCTCTCGACATCGTGATCCACCCGCCTCGGCCTCCCAAAGTGCTGGGATTACAGGCTTGAGCCACCGCGCCCGGCCGAGATTTTTTTTTTATGTAACCAGAGGAACCAGGCCACCTGCCTTAGATAAATATTATGTCACATAGGACATTCTTTTATTATTATTATTGTTTTATACATTGTCCAGGCTGGAGTGCAGTGGCTATTCACAGACACGATCCCATTACTGATCAGCAAGGAAGTTTTGACTTGTTCCATTTCCAACCTCAGCCAGTTCACCCCTCCTTAGGCAACCTGGTGGTCCCTCGCTCCCGGGAGGTCACCGTATTGATCCTGAACTTAGTGCAGACACCCGATTGGCATAGTGCACTACGGCGCAGAACTCCTGGGCTCAAGTGCTCCTCCAGCCTCAGCCTCCCAAGTGGCTGGGATTACAAGCACGTGCCTCCGCACCAGGCTCTTTTTTTTAATTTTTATTTTCACCACTATACTAACGAGAATCTTTTTTTATTATTAAAGAACATCTTCATTCAAGTTTTGAGAATTATTATTATTATTATTATTTTTTATTTTTATTTTTTTGAGACGGAGTTTCACTCTTGTTACCCAGGCTGGAGTGCAATGGCGCGATCTCGGCTCACCGCAACCTCTGCCTCCTGGTTCAGGCAATTCTCCTGCCTCAGCCTCCTGAGTAGCTGGGATTACAGGCACGCGCCACCATGCCTAGCTAATTTTTTTATTTTTAGTAGAGACGGGGTTTCACCATGTTGACCAGGATGGTCTTGATCTCTTGACCTCGTGATCCACCCGCCTCGGCCTCCCAAAGTGCTGCGATTACAGGCTTGAGCCACCGTGCCCGGCCTTATTATTTTTTTTTGAGACAGAGTTTCGCTCTGTCTCTCAGGCTGGAGTGCAGCAGTGTGATCTTGTCTCACTGCAACCTCTGCCTCAAGCTGTTCTCCTGCCTCAGCCTCCCAAGTAGCTGGGACTACAAGCACATGCCACCACACCCAGCTAATTTTTTATATTTTTAGTAAAGATGGGGTTTCGCTGTGTGAGCCAGGATGGTCTCGATCTTCTGACCTCATGATCTGCTCACCTTGTCCTCTCGAATTATAGGCATGAGCCATCACACCCAGCTGAGAATTATTATTATTATTATTATTATTTTTTTTTTGAGACGGAGTTTCGCTCTTGTTACCCAGGCTGGAGTGCAATGGCTCGATCTCGGCTCATTGCAACCTCCGCCTCCTGGGTTCAGGCAATTCTCCTGCCTCAGCCTCCTGAGTAGCTGGGATTACAGGCACGTGCCACCATGCCCAGCTAATTTTTTGTATTTTTAGTTGAGACGGGGTTTCACTATGTTGACCGGGATGGTCTCGATCTCTTGACCTCGTGATCCACCCGCCTCGGCCTCCCAAAGTGCTGGGATTATAGGCTTGAGCCACCGCGCCCGGCTTATTATTTATTTTTGAGACAGAGTTTCACTCTTGTTAACCAGGCTGGAGTGTAATGGCGCGATCTTGGTTCACCGCAACCTCTGCCTCCTGGGTTCAGGCAATTTTCCTGCCTCAGCCTCCTGAGTAGCAGGGATTACAGGCACATGCCACCATGCCCAGCTAATTTTTTGTATTTTTAGTAGAGACGGGGTTTCACCATGTTGACCAGGATGGTCTCGATCTCTCGACCTCGTGATCCACCCGCCTCGGCCTCCCAAAGTGCTCGGATTACAGGCTTGAGCCACCGCGCCCGGCCTCGAGAATTATTTCTTAGAGGGTAATTGATTAGTCTGTGGCAGAATAAAAAGATTTTCTCTAAGCTTAAGTGCCAAAAAGGCTTTATACACAAGAGGTCTTTCAAAACATATATATTTTTTTTTTCCTGAGATGAAGTCACCCTCTGTCACCCAGGCTGGAGGATAGTGGTGTGATCTCGGCTCACTGCAACCTCCATCTCCAGAGTTTAAGCAGTTCTTGTGCCTTAGCCTTTTGAGTAGCTGGGATTATAGGCACACACCACCACACTCATCTAGTTTTTGTATTTTTAGTAGAGACAGCGTTTTACCATGTTGGCCAGGCTGGTCTCGAACTCCTGACCTCAGGTGATCCACCCACCTCAGCCTCCCAAAGTGCTGGGATTATAGGTTGAGCCACTGTGCCTGGCCCAAAATATTATTTAGCAAAACATTGGCCAATTATAAGGGAATAATAAAATCATGATGTGTCCACAGAATTATGCATGGATTTTAAATGTTTCGAGGTGTTTATATTGATTGGAGAAATGCTTAGAAGTTAAAAAAAAAAAAAGGCAGGACACCAAATTACATAATACAGTATGTTTGTAATTATCTGAAAAGCATGGAAAAGTTACAAGAAGAAAATATATTCATATAGATATATATGGGGATCTTGCACTGTCTGTGCTGGAGTGCAGTGGTGCAATCTCAGCTCACTGCAACCTCTGCCCCCTGGGTTCAAGTAATTCTCCCACCTTAGCTTCCCAAATAACTGGGAGAATAAGCATGAGCCTGCCTTTCTTTCTTTCTTTCTTTCTTTTTCCTTCTTTCCTTCCTTCCTTCCTTCTTTCCTTCCTTTTTTCCTTCCTTCCTTCTTTCCTTCCTTGTTTCCTTCTTTCTTTTTCTTTCTTTCTTTTCTGTTTTGATACGGATTTTCATCCTGTCACCCAGGCTGGAGTGCAGTGGCACGATCTCGGCTCACTGCAACCTCTGCCTTCCAGGTTCCAATGATTCTCCTGCCTCAGCTTCCAGTAGCTGGGATTACAGGTGCCAGCCACCATGCTCAGCTAATTTTTCTATTTTTAATAGAGATGGGGGTTTCACCATGTTGGCCAGGCTGGTCTCAAATTCCTGACCTTGTGATCTGCCTGCCTTGGCCTCCCAAAGTGCTGGGATTACTGGCGTGAGCCACTGTGCTAGGCGTTTTTTTTTTTTTTTTTTTTTTTTTCCTGCAGCCTCTGTCCCCTGGGTTCAAGTGATTCTCCTGCCTCACCTTCCTGAGTAACTGGGATTACTCAGATGCCCACCACCAGGTCCAGTTAATTTTTTTGTATTTTTAGTAGAGACTGGGTTTTACCATGTTGGCCAGGCTGGTCCAATCTCCTGGCCTCAAGTAATCCACCTGCATCGGCCTCCCAAAGTGTTAGGATTACAGGCATGAGCTACTACGCCTAGCCAGTATTTTTATTTTTTGAGACGGAGTCCCACTCTGTCGCCCAGGCTGGAGTGCAATGACATGTTCTTGGCTCACTGCAACCTCCGCCGTTTGGGTTCAAGTGATTCTCCCACCTCAGCCTCTCAAGTAGCTGGGACTACAGCCTTGTGCCACTACACCTGGCTAATTGTTTTGTATTTTTAGTAGAGACAGGATTTTACGATGTTGGCCTGACTGGTCTTGAACTCCTGAACTTGTGATTTGCCTGCCTTGGCCTCTCGAAGTGCTGGGATTACAAGCTTGAGCCACCAAATCCAGCCCCAGGATCAGTATTTTTCTGTCTACTTTTCTTTTTTCCAAATTTTCAAAAATATGTTTGCTTTTAGAATTAAATAAATTTGGCTAGGTACAGTGACTCATGCCTGTAATCCCAGTGCTTTAGGAGGCTGAGGCAGGTAGATCATGAGGTCAGAAGATCGAGACCATCCTGGCTAACACAGTGAAACACTATCATGCCTGTAATCCCAGTGCTTTAGGAGGCTGAGGCAGGTAGATCATGAGGTCAGAAGATCGAGACCATCCTGGCTAACACAGTGAAACACTATCTCCACTAAAAATACAAAAAATTAGCCGAATGTGGTGGCATGCACCTGTAGTTCCAGCTACTTGGGATGCTGAGGCAGGAGAATCTCTTGGACCTAGAGTGGCAGAGGTTGCAGTGAGCAGAGGTTGCACCACTGCACTCCAGCCTGGGCAACAGAATGAAACTCCATCTCAAAATCAATAAATAAATAAAAATTAAAAATTTAATAAACTTTATTTTTAAAGCAGCTGTTTTATAATGCACCTTAATTTTAAAATATTCCTAGTATACATTACTGCAGGAGAGATGTGGGAGATTGCTGAGGAGTCATTGGGTTGAATTGACTTAATCTGTGGCTCGCTGCAGAGTTCAAAGCAATGAGTTCAAGTTCTGGCTCTCTTTTATAGTGCTGGCACTACTCTACATCTGTTTTTTGGAAAAGAGATACAAGTAAATTCAATAGCTAACTGTAGCCCTGGTAAGTCCTGTTACCTAAGTCTGGTTAAATCATTTATAAAGTGGAAGTAATAGTGGGAGTAATAGCACCTACCCCTTAAGGTTGGGGTGAGGCTTAGATGATAAGGTACTATAAGCGCCAAAGTACCATGCATATGGAAAGAAATCTCATTAAATGGACTTTCAGATGATTGTAGCTAAAGCTGTTGATTTAATTAATTTGTAAGAAATAATCGTCGTGATTGACATGGTGTTCTGTTTGTTATACTTCACAATCAGAGAGGACCAGGTAAACTTCCGTGGATTCATGCGAACTTTGGCTCATTTCCGCCCCATTGAGGATAATGAAAAGAGCAAAGATGTGAATGGACCCGAACCACTCAACAGCCGGAGCAACAAACTGCACTGTAAGGAGCTAAAGTCTTCTGGCTTAAAATACTTGCTGTTCATTTCTTAAAAATCATGTATTTACTCATTCATTATTTGAACAAGCATTTACAAGAACATACTGGTTAAGACCTCAGACTCTGGAGCTAAACTAGTCAAATTTAAATCCTAATCTACCTCTTTTTGGCCATGTGACTTTGGGCAAGATACTTAACCTCTTTGGGCTTTGGTGTTCTCTTCTGTAAGATGGGATATTAAGGGCTTCTGCATTGAACTGTTGCGAGGACTAAATGAGGGAATAAATGTCAAGTGCTTCAAACAGTGCCTGGCATATATTAGGTACTAAATAAGTGTTACCTAGAATCATTATAATTCACTGAGCACCTACTTTGTACCAGGCACTGCAGTAAGTACTAGCATGGCAATAGTGAACAAGACACAGGCCCTACCTTTAAGGAATAATGGCAGTCCTCAGCTCATCTTAGAATTTGATAGACACTGAATGTGACTTAAGTAGGGGGGAACAGCTGGATATAGTGCTGTATTTAATTTTTATACCCATGTCTCATGCCTCTTTTCCTTTAATACTTGTTTGCTTTCCCTTCTGCCCTTACTGGTTCATGTATGATATTGCCCAATCCCTTAAAACACTTCTGCAGGAAATTGAAATTGAATTTCTCTTTTTATTCAGTACAACTTGAAATTGAAATTGTATTAAAACTGACTGAAGGCTGGGTGCAGTGGCTTATGCCTGTAATCCCATCATGTTGGGAGGCCAGGGTAGGTGAATCACTTGAGCCCAGGAGCTTGAGACCAGCCTGGGCAACATGGTGAAACACCATCTCTAATAAAAATACCAAAATTTTCTAGGTGTGGTGGCATGCATCTGTGGCCCCAAGTACTTAGGAGGCTGAGGTAGGAGAATTGCTTAAGCCTGAGAGGTTGAGGCTGCAGTGAGCCATGATGGCACCACTGCACTTCAGTGCAGGGAACAGAAACTCTGTCTCAAAAAAGAAAGAAAACAAAATCTTCCAAATAGCACCAGTGGATTTGGGTGTTAGCTGGTGTCTTAGGATGCCTTTAGTTGACTCAGCTGGCTTAAACAATAAAGAAATATAGTAGCTCACTTTACAAATCAGGTTAGACCAGCAGGTGGATTGATTGTGTTTCAAGCACTAGGGATTTTTCTCTTTACTCTGCCATCCTTGTAGTTGTTTTATCCTAAGGTATTATGGTCATATGACAGCTCTCAGTTGTTAACAGGGCTTCTTTTTTTTCTTGTTCACATCTGGCAGTAGAGGAAGAGAGATATATGTAGAGAGAGATCGAGACTGAAATTGAAATTGAGCAACACTCCTCCCAAGCATGGAATGTAAGTCCTTCCCCTCGCTTTGATAAGTCAGTTTAGGTCAGGAGAGTGCCAAGTGCTAAGGAGATTAGGCTAATGAGATTCCCCTCCTAATGCTATGGTTGGGGTTCTGCTAAGGAAGAAGGTTGGAATGCACAGAAATGGCAAATTTCAGGATGAGATAGAATAATAACAAGGTGCTATGCAGGTTATGCTTGGGTTTATTTTGTTTTTTCTTAATTTTTTTTTTTTTTTTTTTTTTCTTTTTAGACAGGGTCTCACTCTGTCACCCAGGCTGAGTGCAGTGGCATGATCACGGCTCACTACAGCCTTGACTTTCTGGGCTGAAGTGATCCTTTTGCCTCAGCCCCACAAGTTGCTAGAACTACAGGTGTGTGCACTACACCCAACTAATTTTTTTTTTTCTCCTAGACTGCTCAGCAGGATAATTTTTCATTTTCTAATTTTTTGTACGGACACGGTCTCACTGTGTTGCCCAGATTGGTCTCAAAATCCAGGAAGCAAACAATCATCCCACCTTGACCTCCTGAAATGCTGGGATTACAGGCCTGAGCCACCATACCCAGCCTGTCTTTTTCATTACATACTTTAGTCTTGGCCGTTGGATTAACTTTTACAGGAAGCTAAAAATTAATTTGAATTCTGTTGCAGTCTCTCTGTAGGGCTCATGTTCATGTAATTTAACCAGTAAAACCAAAGCTATTCAGGGGCCAAAGAAAAAATGGAAGAGCCTGAAAAGTCCTCAATTTCTATCTGTTGCGTCTCTTTGAACTTCCCACAGGGCTGTATAAGCTGCAGGATGGTGCCTCTTGTTGTAGACTGAGGGCAATTGAATGTCATATACAATGTCTCAGGGCAACACATTTGCCACGGAGAGACATTTACCTTAGAGACAGGGGATGTGTTACTTAGAAATGTGGATTTACAGGCCAGGTGTGATGGCTTATGCCTGTAATCCCAGCACTTTGGGGGGCCAAGGCAGGTAAATCACTTGAGGTTGAGAGTTCAAGACCAGCCTGGCCAACATGGTGAAACCTGTCGATACTAAAAATACAAAAAATTAGCTGGGTGTGGTGGCACCTGTAATACCAGTTATTCAGGAGGCTGAGTCAGAAGAATAGCTTGAATGTGGGGGGCAGAAGTTGCAGTAAGCCTAGATTGCACCATTGTTCTCCAGCCTGGGCGACAGAGTGAGACTTCATCTCAAAAAAAAAAAGAAATGTGGGGTTTACAGAAGAGTGGAACCAAATTTTATTATGGTTTCTCCTTTGCGTAGAATACTGTCTTCAGGAACTCTCAGAACACACCTTGTTCTATTTCTTTTATGTACCACAGTGAGAGGACTTTTTTTTTTGAGATGGAGTTTCACTCTTGTTGCACAGTTCTGGAGTGCTGTGGCATGATCTCAGCTCAGTGCAGCCTCCACCTCCTGGTTTCAAGCGATTCTCCTGCCTCAAACTCCCGAGTAGGAGGGATTACAGGCACCCACCACCATGCCCAGCTAATTTTGTATTTTTAGTAGAGATGGGATTTCTCCATGTTAGTCAAGCTGGTCTCGAACTCTCGACCTCAGGTGATCCACCCGGCTTAGCCTCCCAAAGTGTTAGGATTACAGGTGTGAGCCACCGCACCCCGCCGAGAATTTCAATCACAATCAACAAGGCTAAAAACTGTGCCCACGTAGGCACAGACCCAAGCACACATAGTGCTCCTCTGATCTTCTGTTTGTCTCCTGGAAGTGGTACCTTATTGCTTTTCTCTTTGCATTGGTGAAGTGATAATAATGCTTTGTGTAGGCCACGTGCAGTAGATCACACCTGTAATCCCAGCACTTTGGGAGGCCGAGGTGGGTGGATCACAAGGTCAGGAGTTCAAGACCAGCCTGACCAACATGGTGAAATCCTGTCTCTACTAAAAATACAAAAATTAGCCGGGCGTGGTGGCACATCCCTGTAATCCCAGCTACTCAGGAGACTGAGACAGGAGAATCACTTGAACCTGGGAGGTGAAGGTTGTAGAGAGCCAAGATTGCGCCATGGCACTCCAGCCTGGGTGACAGAGAAAGACTGTCTCAAAAAAAAAAAAAAAAGTGAAAGGTATAGAATATCCATCTTAGAATGCCCCAGGGCATGGTAAATAAGAGAATTCAAGAGGTCTACAGGTTTTTAGGCACCGGGCACTGTGGCTCAAGCCTGTAATCCCAGCTCTTAGGGAGGCAGAGGCGGGAGGATAGCTTGAGCCCAGGAGTTTGAGACCGGCTTGGGCAATATAGCCAGATGCTGTTCTCCACAAAAAAAAAAAAGCCAGGCGTGGTGTCTGTGGTCCCAGCTACTCTGGAGGCTGAGGTGAGAGGATCCTTTGAGCCTGGGAGGTTGAGGCTGCAGTGAGTCATGATTGTTGCACTCCAGCCTGGAAGACAGAGAAGGAGCCTGTCTCAAAAAAAAAAAAAAAAAAAGCTAACCAAATTAAACAAACCAAAAAAAAAAAAAAAAAAAAAAATCAGAAAGTCTCTTCTAGCTATTTCTTTTCTCCAGAATTCTGATATATAACTTACAAAGCCTAATTCGATTTTAAAATTATTTTTACTTTTTTTTTTTTTTTTTTGAGATGGAGTTTCGCTCTTGTTACCCAGGCTGAAGTGCAATGGCGTGATCTCGGCTCACCGCAACCTCCACCTCCTGGGTTCAAGCAATTCTTCTGCCTCAGCCTCCCTAGTAGCTGGGACTACAGGCGTGAGCCACCATGCCCAGCTAATTTTTGTATTTTTAGTAGAGACGGGGTTTCACCTTGTTGACCAGGATGGTCTCGATCTCTTGATGTGATCCACCCGCCTCGGCTTCCCAAAGTGCTGGGATTACAGGCATGAGCCACCATGCCCGGCCTGGTCTCAATCTCTTGATGTGATCCACCCGCCTTGGCTTCCCAAAGTGCTGGGATTACAGGCATGAGCCACCATGCCCGGCCTTTTTTTTTTTTTTTTTTTTTTTTTAAGACAGAGTCTCGCTCTGTCGCCAAAGCTGGAGTATAGGGGCATGATCTCAGCTCACTGCAACCTCTGCTTCCCATGTTCTAGCCGTTCTCCTGCCTCAGCCTCCCAAGTAGCTAGGACTACAGGCACATGCTGCCACTCCTGGCTAATTTTTTGTATTTTAGTAGAGACAGGGTTTCACCTTGTTGCCCAGGCTGGTCTCGAATTCCTGAGCTCAGGCAATCCATCAGCCTTGGCCTCCCAAAGTGCTAGGATTACAGGTGTGAGCCACCGTGCCTGGCCTATTTTTACTTCATCTTTTAGTGGACTCACCCTTTTATTTTGGAGGGAAGGGATATTTATTTTCTTTCTTTATTTTATTATTATTATTATTTTGAGACGGAGTTTCACTCTTGTTGCCCAGGCTGGAGTGCAATGGTGCAATATGGGCTCATCGCAACTTCTGCCTCCCAGATTGAAGCAATTCTTCTGCCTCAGCCTCCCAAGTAGCTGGGATTACAGGCAGGTACCACCATGCCTGGCTAATTTTTTTGTATTTTTAGTAGAGATGGGGTTTCTCCATGTTGGTCAGGCTGGTCTCAAATTCCCAACCTCAGGTAATCTACCTGCCTTGGCCTCTGAAAGTGCTGGGATTACTGGCATGAGCCACCGCCGCTGGCAAGGATATTTAAACCTGTAGATAGGAATCCATGTTCTTATGCCTTTGTGCCTAATAATAGCTCTTTGGAATGCTCACCCCTTGTCACATTTTTATTTGTCTTTCAAGGCCTTGTTCAAATGTAACCTCTCCTTGATGTTTCCCCAGCTCCACCAAAAAGCTACATCTGCTATACACTTTGTTACCCCTACATTTTGGATGTGTTGTAGAGCTTAGGATATATTTGAGGGGGTTGTGTGTATTGCTCTCCTCTACGAGATAGTGAGTTCCTAAGGACAGAGTCTAAATCCGTGGATCTTAATAGCTCTAGTGCAGTGGATTTAGGCTTTTTAGTATTTGCGACACCCTATTTATGACCCACAGTCTTAGTGGCATTCTTCAAGTGATTCAAAACCTAAAAACCATGCTAAATTCAGTTGTGGGAGAAGACATTCATGTCCTCAGGGTGATTTTTTCTCATGGCGCCTATAAAATCACCCAGTGTTATTACGCTATTCTGTTGGTAGTCTTTCAGCAGCATGGTAGAAATTTAATGATTTTGCTCTTCTGATTTCTCTCTCATATGGACCCAAGCAAAGTTCTCATATATCCTAGTTTCTAGAAGGTTTAAAGAGAAAGAAACATGATAAGACCAGGAGACCATCTGAGCCATCATATTTATTGAAACTCAATTTCTTTTTTTTTTTTTTTGAGACGGAGTCTCACTCTGTCACCCAGACTGGGGTGCAGTGGCACAGTCTCAGCTCACTGCAATCTCCACCTTCCAGGTTCAAGTGATTTTCCTGCCTCAGTCTTTTGAGTAGCTGAGATTACAGGGGCCCACTACCACGCCCAGCTATTTTTTGTATTGTTAGTGGAGACGAGGTTTCATGGTGTTGACCAGGCTAGTCTTGAACTGCCACCTCATGATCCGCCCACCTCAGCCTCCCAAAGTGCTGGGATTACAAGCGTGAGCCACCTCGCCCAGACTGAAACTCAATTTCTTTATCTGCAGGACTCCCAAGTGATAGAGAATTACTTGAAATTTGAGACAATTTTGCCCAGGAGGCTCTATTCCCAAAGTAGTACTTTGTGTTGTCAGCTCTCATGGTACCTGTGGGACACCTATTGTTGGTTTTCCCTGAGTGGTGCCTGGTAGAATTGATGTTTGTGTGAGGTGACCTAACTTACAAAATCACGTAAGGGATGTTTGGGGGCTGTTTAACATTCTAGGTTAAGAAAAAGGACATTTGGCTTTCTTTTTATGAAGTGTTCTGATTTGTTGGAAGAGAGACCATACTTCATGCAATCTAAGATCACATCAATTCTCAGTTCTTCAGTGTTATAATTTTTTTAAAGCCCTGCAAGTAATGGCAGTTATTCTTAAAAAATCGATTAATTGGCTGTCAGTTTTCTGTCTAGTGTCTTATATATTTAGTTCCTTGAGAAGGGGCAACACACTACAGAATTTCGACTAACTTTGTGTTTTTCCCTTACAGTTGCTTTTCGACTATATGATTTGGATAAAGATGACAAGATCTCCCGTGATGAGCTGTTACAGGTATGTGGGAGAGCTCCTGGAGAACTTGTGTTTGGACCCTGCCTGCTTATTATTATGAGCAGGAACTATTCTTTGTTTAGTAAGCATTTATTTAATACCTGTTATGTGCAGAGTCCTGACCTAGTTATAAGGCAAAGGAGATGCCCTGGAAAAACTTGAAATAGCTCATTGCGTTTTCATAGACAGATATCGCCGATATTTAAAAGCTAACTAGGGCCAGGCATGGTGGCTCACGCCTATAATCCCAGCACTTTGGGAGGCTGAGACGGGTGGATCCCGAGGTCAAGAGTTCGAGACCAGTCTGGCCAACACAGTGAAACCCCGTCTCTACTAAAAATACAAAAAAAGCCGGGCGCGGTGGCTCAAGCCTGTAATCCCAGCACTTTGGGAGGCTGAGGCGGGTGGATCACGAGGTCAAGAGATCGAGACCATCCTGGTCAACATGGTGAAACCCCGTCTCTACTAAAAATACAAAAAATTAGCTGGGCATGGTGGCGCATAGTATACTATACTGTATACCATTTTGTGTATCTGTTATATGCAGTATAGTATACTATATGCAGCATATATAGTATATGCAGAACTATATACTGTTCTAACTACTATATGCAGTATACTATATGTAGTACTTATAGTATATTATACTATATACCGTTATGTGTATCTACTATATACAGTATAGTATACTATAGTACTATACTATAGTATGAACGCATAATGGTATTTGTGTATCTAAACATATCTTTGGCTGGGCATGGTGGCTCACACCTAGAATCTCAGCACTTTGGGAGGCAGCAGAGGGAGAATTGCTTGAGCACAGGAGTTGAAGGCCTGCCTGGGCAATATAGTGAGACCCCATTGCTACAAAAAATTTTTAAAAATTAGCCAGGCATGGTTGCATGCACCTGTAGTGTAGTCTCAGCTATTTGGGAGACTGAAGTGAGAGGATCACTTGAGCGTGGGAGGTAAGGCTGCAGTGAGCCACATTCACACTACAGCACTCCAGCTTTGGCAATAGAGTGAGACCCTGTCTCAAAAAAAAAAAAAAACCCAAAACAAATACATGTATCTAAACATGGAAAAGGTACAGTAAAAATAGGGTGTTGTAATGTTTTTTTAAAATTTTTTAACTTTTAGGTTCAGGGGTACATATGCAGGTTAGTTATGTAGGTAAACTATTGTCATGAGAGTTTGATATATAGATTATTTCATCTCCTGGGTACTAAGCCTATTACCCAGTAGTTCTTTTTTCTGCTTCTCTCCCTCCTCCCATCCTCCACCGTCTGGTAGGCCCCAGTGTCTTTTGTTCTCCTTTTTTTGTCCATGTGTTCTCATCAAAATACAGTGTTATAATCTCATGACACCACCACTATATATTGCAGCTGATCATTAACCAAATATTATGCAGTGCATGACAGTATTTGTGGTCATCAAAGGAAAAGGAGGATGGTGATAGCTTTATTTTTAATCTTAGTAGAAGAGTCCCTCCGATTCCCAAGGCCCTTGTCATTCCTGACTGTTGATCTTGCAGGTGCTACGCATGATGGTCGGAGTAAATATCTCAGATGAGCAGCTGGGCAGCATCGCAGACAGGACCATTCAGGAGGCTGATCAGGATGGGGACAGTGCCATATCTTTCACAGAATTTGTTAAGGTTGGTCACTTATCTCTGAGGTTTTTTTGTTTGTTTTGTTTTGTTTTGAGACAGTTTCACTCTTGTTGCCCAGGCTGGAGTGCAATGGTTCGATCTTGGCTCACTGCATCCTCTGCCTCCCAGGTTCAAGGGAGTCTCCTGCCTCAGCGTCCTGAGTACCTGGGATTACAGGCATGCACCACTACACCTGGCTAATTTTTGTATTTTTAGTAGAGATGGGGTTTCACTATGTTGGTCAGGCTTGTCTCAAACTCCTGACCTCACGATCTGCCCACCTCAGCCTCCCAAAGTGCTGGGATTACAGGTGTGAGCCACCGTGGCCGGCCAGGCACAGTGGCTCACGCCTGTAATCCTAGCACTTTGGGAGGCCTAGGTGGGTGGATCACCTGAGGTCAGGAGTTCAAGACTAGCCTGGCCATCAGGTGAAACCCCATCTTTATTTTGTATAAATTAAAAAAAAGAAAAAGAAAGTAAAATTCCACTGAACAGGAGGGAGAAGGGAAAACATAACTCAGATAAAAGCTTGGGAGTGTTGTGACCTTTATAACTTTCATAACTGTCACTCGTTTCCTCCCACAGGTTTTGGAGAAGGTGGATGTAGAACAGAAAATGAGCATCCGATTTCTTCACTAAAGGACGGAGACCAAACTGTTCCTTGAGGTCTAGTATTTAAGAACTGGAACTTGAAAGTCCTCCTTCCACCAACCCCACCTCTCCCCCATCATTCCCTTTCTCCCTAAGTACTACTGCTGTTGCATGACAACCCTGAATATGTTCTGTCAACACAAATCTGCCTTTGATGTATAAACAGGGCATTACAGAATGGTACACCCAGTCTATTTCTGTTCGGTATTATTCACTTGTTCTTCATTTATAAATATCATCTTCCCCATTCTGCTGCTGAATGCCACACGTCCATCCAGTCTGAGAAAGTGAGAGAGGGACTCATGCCAAGAACAAGCCAGCAAAGCTCTTTCACTGGATGTAGACTGTAGCCCTGCTGTCTTCCCTCCAGCGAGCCTGCCAGCATGCTTTATCCTTTTTATATGGCCGTTGCTTCCTTCTTCTGTGTCATCCAAGATACTGTTCACTTAGTCTGGCAGTCTTTCTGCTTTTCATTAAGCCTCAAAATCTCCTCTGTTTTACTTGGCATCACAAGCTGTGCCCTATATATGTATTTCTGACTTGGCAGGATAGTTCAGGGGTCTGGTAGTTTTTATTTACCTTCACTATTAAATGAACCTCTGGGATGTTGCCTTTCCAGGAGCTTTTTGGTAACCAACACTTCTCTCAGAAGTATAAGATCATCCTCTGCACTCTGCTCTGTCATCAAAGGGCTGCTGGGCAGAGATACCCCTTCATGAGAGGTGGTCTTGGTGAGAGGTGTGGAGTCAAGTCTTTTAGGTTGCTTGCCCACATCACTCTACCTCTGGCCTCTGATTCTCAACTTTGTACCTCTGTGGCTCCTCTTGTTAATGCAGTGTTGACTGATCAAAAAATAGCAACACGCCTACAGGTTTGCTTAGTTTGGGGACACTGTTACCACCAGAATGGCTGCTCTGACAATATGCCTGGGAACTTTCTCATAGCTTTTTTTCACAAGGAGGCTGGGCACCCTGTAAAGCCTCATGCATTCACACCTTTGCAGCATGGTTTGTGCCTCAGTGTTATGTGCACTGGAATGTTTTTCACTTCACATTTCCAAGTAGAAAAAGTGTTACGAGCCAGGCATGGTGGCTCACACCTGTAATCCCAACACTTTGGGAGGCCGAGGAGGGCATTTCACAGGACAGGAGTTCAAGATCAGCCTGGCCAAAATGGTGAAACTCCGTCTCTACTAAAAATACAAAAACTAGCTGGGCGTGGTGGCAGGTGCCTGTAATCCAAGCTACTCAGGAGGCTGAAGGAGGAGAATCACTTGAACCTGGGAGGCGGAGGTTGCAGTGAGCCGAGACTGCGCCATTGCATAATACCCTGGGTGACAAAGCAAGACTCCGTTTCAAAAAATAAAAATAAAAAAAAGAATGATTAGTGTTACAGAAGTGCCTAAGTTATCTTAGTCCAAAGTATTTAAAGATTGTTTCCTCAGTGTCTTGAGGTTTTGTACAAAATTCTTTCTTTTTTTTTTTTTTTTTTTTTTAAGACAGAGTCTCACTCTGTCACTTAGGCTGGAGTGTAGTGGCACCATCTCAGCTCACTGCAACCTCTGCCTCCTGGTTCCAGCAATTCTCCCACTTCAGCCTCCCAAGTAGCTGGGATTACAAATGTGCACCACTACACCCAGCTAATTTTTGTATTTTTAGTAGAGAGGGGATTTCACCATGTTGGCCACTTTGGTCTTGAACTCCTGACCTCAGGTGATCTTCGTGCCTCAGCTTCCCAAAGTGCTGTACAGGCGTGAGCCACCACACTCAGCCACAAAATTCTTTATGAATTTCACACTGTGCAGATATTAATGATGGAAGCCATAGTCAGCTCCTAATACAACTCCAAAGAATTGACCATTGTATCATTAGCTGCCTGGTTACATTAGCTTCCTAGCTCCTTGTAAAGACCACCACTAATCCCTTAAAAACAAGAGGTCTGGCAGTGGTAGCACAACCTAAGGTGGCATTACAGGTCTTTGAGCAGGCCACAGCAACTTTTCTGCCAAAGTCAGCTTAGTTTAGACTTGATTGATTCAGACTATTGCCATCCTAATGTATGTCTCTATGAGTCTGTTTATCTGTACATCTGCCCTTGGCTGACTCTGACTCATTGCTTGCTTGCTTGCTTGTTTCCTTGCTTTGGAAAACTATTGAAGATATGTACATAAGTCTTTAGGAAGGGATTGCTAAAAAATACCACTGCAAAGTGATGGAAAAGGGTGGAGAACAGGGAATTAGCCAGGCTGGATGGCTCAAAATATAAATTAATGAAGAATTCTTTATGAAGTATCAGTCAGACTTTGTGATCAAGTGATGCATTATAGGAATTATGTAAAAGGAAAGAATGTCCAATACTGACCTATTAGAGAGGTACTTCACAGGCTCCTTGATTTGCATATTTAAAGTTCCTAAGGTTATAGCTTTTCCCCCCTTTTGGCTGTGTAGTAAACTGTTTTAATCCACAGTTGTGCCTTATTGTTCCATTAAAATTGTATCTTTGATCCATCAATAAATACTTGTGGTTGAAACAAAATAACTTGGTTGATTTTGTCCATTTTACAAGAATTTTATGTAACTTAGTCCCTTCTTCAAGTTTGAAATCACAGTGTCTCCCTTACTCAAGTTTGTACTGTCAGCTGCAGTCTACTTCGCTGCTGCCTGGACATATGAAGTGGAAACATTCTTCAACGGGCCAGCACTCTCAGCCTCTAGACACGGTTTTGTCAGCCATGGCCACTTCCCATTCATTCCAGGTAAGATGCAATTTCTATTCTTGACTCCCTGATTCTTTAAAGATAGAAAAAGCCTAAAAATGCAGTATCTGTCTATTCCTTGTTACTAAGTTGCCCACCTCTTCCTTCATGTGCAGCCTCAATGGTGACATACTCTGCCTTTACGGGGCTTTTCCCATTTTCACTTCTTTTTTGAGACTGAGTCTTACTTTGTTGCCCAAGCTGGAGGGCAGTTGTATGATCTCAGCTCATTAGAACCTTCATCTCCTAGGTTCAAGCGATTCTCCTGCCTCAGCCTCCCAAGTCGATGGGATTATAGGTGTGTGCCACCACACCCAGCTAATTTTTAGTTTTGTTTTGTTTTCTTTGAGAAGGAGTCTCACTTTGTTGCCCAGGCTGGAGTGCAATGGCATGGTCTTGGCTCAGTGCAACCTCTGCCTGCTGGGTTCAAGCAATTCTCCTGTCTCAGCCTCCCACGTAGCTGGGATTACAGGTACCCACCACCATGCTCGGCTAATTCTTGTATTTTTAGTAGAGATGGGGTTTCACCATGTTGGCCAGGTTGGTCTTGAACTCCTGACCTCAGGCAACATGCCCGCCTCAGCCTCCCAAAGTGCTGGGATTACAGGTGTGAACCACTGCACCCGGCCACGGCCTATTTTTTCTAATTTTATCTGTTATAAAATATTGAAGTAATGAATCTCTGCATATAACTTTTTACTTTGAAAAATTTTACAAGGGTGGAATTACTAGGTCAAAGTTCAAACATATACTTACATGGTTTGCTACGTTTATTATGCTCCTTTATCTTTGGTGTTCTATTTAGGATATCTTTATCATCACTTGTTTTTCCAAATTTATTTTAGAATCATTTTGTCAATTGCATTTAAAACGTTATTAGGCTCATGCCTCTAATCCCAGCACTTATGGTGGCTGAGGTGGACAGATCACTTGAGGCCAGGAGTTCAAGACCAGCTTATCCAATATGGTGAAACCCCTTCTCTACCAAAAATGCAAAAATTAGCTGGGTGTCATGGTTGGCGTCTGTAATCTCTGCTGCTCCAGAGGCTGAGGCAGGAGAATCGCCTGAACCCGGGAGGCAGGGGTTGCAGTGAGCCGAGACTGTGCCACTGTATTCCAGCCTAGGCAACAAAGCAAGGCTATCTCAAAACACACACACACACACACACACACACACACACACACACACACACACAAACACACACACACATTATTAGAATAGATTGTGTTAATTGGGATTTGGAACAAGTATTAATGCAGAGATGCCCTAAAAGAGGACTGACCTTGCTCTTTCATCGGGGTCGCCAACATGCCATTCCAGATTGAGGAAGACCCAGAAACTTCAGGGCCACATTTGCCATGGCTGCACCTGGAAGCACTGGAAGCACCCCGGAGGCTGTGGTAATGCTGGTGATATGCATCACCACAGGACCAACTTCAACAAATACCGCCCAGGTTCCTTTGGTAAAGTTGGTATGAGGCATTACTGCTTAACAGAGGAACCAGACTTCTGCCCAACTGTCAACATTGACAAATTTTGGACTTTGGTCAGGGAGCAGACACGGGTGAATGCTGCTAAAAACAAGACTGGGGCTGCTCTCATCACTGATGTGGTGCCATCTGGCTATACAAAGTTCTAGGAAAGGGAAACCTTACAAAGCAGCTTGTCATCTGAAGGCTAAATTCTTGAAAAGAAGAGCTGAGAAGGTTAAGGGTGTGAGGGGAGGGGGGACTGTGTCCTGGGGGTTTGAGGCCGTAAATGCTAACTACTTAAAAAAAAAAAGAGGACTTCGTTTAAATTTTCTTATACTACAAACTAGGTGTGGCCACCGCCACCTGGCCAGGAATCTATATTGCTACGAATCGACCAGGTGACAGCCCTCTTGGTGTCTGGGAAGCACAGTGGACCTACACCGCCTACACCAGGCCCCGCTTGTCATAACACGGATGAGGAGCCACCCCATATATGTACCATCCCTGCCCCTCTTGGAAATGTTGCAGAAGAAAGGATGTCCTACAGTTTGGTGTAGCAAACAACAAAATTGCCAGTCATAACAGGTTACCTCTATGTAGAAGGGCCCTCAGAAAAGTGACGAATCCTCTCCTGTATTGATCAAAGCTGTAAACAGCAGGACATTTTGGTCCTTTAAGAGTCTAAATGAGTCACACTCAGAGATAAACTGGAACCATTAAATTTTTTGCCTAGGTGTTGTGCTATCCCAGAATTAAAAGCCCGTGGGGTTGGACGCGGTGGCTCACGCCTGTAATCTCAGCACTTATCACCTGAGGTCAGGAGTTGGCGACCAGCCTGACCACAGTGGTGAAACGCCGTCTCTACTAAAAATATGAAAAATTAGCCAGACGTGATGACCTGCGCCTGTAATCCACATACTGAGGAGGCTGAGGCAGGAGACTCATTTAAACCTCATCATTTAAACCCGGGAGGTGTAGGTTGCAGTGAGTCAAGATAACGCCACTGCACTCCACCCTGTGCCACAGAGCAAGGCTGTCTCCCAAAAAAAAAAAAGCCCTCGGGCCTGAAACTAAAATTACTAGTCCTACAGTTTAACCTAACAGTGGATTAAAATAGTCACGTGGCGTGGCCACACTATCTTACCAAGTGGCACAGCCTTTAAGCGGAAATTTTATAGTCTTACTAAATGAATTACAAAAGCATTTTTCCCTGCTATATCAATTCCGGGACACAATCCGACAGAAAAGGGATGGAAGGAGTGTGGCGAGTGCTATTGATTGACGTGCATTCCAACCAACCTACAACGCATGAAAAGCGCGCGCGCGCGCGAGCAAGCCTGTGTCCAATTACTACTCAGCGGCAGTGGCGGGGGCGGGGCTTGTGGAAACGGCCCGCCGCAGGGTTGGCGGTCTTGAGAAGCAGCGAATATGGCGGAGTGAGGCGTTCCGCTGTGAACTGGCCTCTGGGCCGGGGGCAGGCCAGTCCGGCCAGCCCCCGGGAGGCCGAGTGCATCTGTTGGACCGTGCGAGGTGAGCCGAGAAGGCCAGTGACTTGGGGGACGAGCAGGTGGCGAGGAGGTGGCGTGGCCTAGCCGTATGCCGGTGACAGAATCTCACAGGAATCTGCGAGCTGCGGGCAGCCGGCCTCAGCCTCTGCCGGGCGGGGATTTCAACCTCAGGGACCCCAGGGCGGCCCGCACCCGCCTTTTGGGTGTGTCGCACGGCCCACACTCTCCTCAGCCCCCCTGGGTTCTTCCCAGTGCCGTGCGTTTAGCCGCCTTTGTGTTTTCTGCTTGCACCCACGCGGGGCTATACCTGGTAGTCGCTGCATCCACCATCGATTTATTTTTCGAAGAATATCTTTGTTTTATTAATTTACTTACACTCCTCCCTCAAGACTTTGTGCCCCTTCTGTTGTCCTTGGCTGCGATATCATTTGAGGCCTGTTGTGGCGCTGAATATTTTGTGTCCCTAGCTCGTTGACCTTGAGACTTGTAAGAGGTTCCCCTTGGGAATTGCATTCGAGTGTGTGTATCGCGGACATCTTCGTGCAACTTTTACTAAATCCATTCGCTCCCACTCCCACCTCCCAAACTTTTACGATCTGAGTAAGCAGTTCTGGCACTGATGTGATAACGTTCTAATGGCGCGTTAATTTCCGCTGACGCCAGGCTCTTGACCGTTTTTGGCTTCTGTGTACACTATTGTTCTTACAGAGACAAAATGAAAATCGTTTGGGGAAATGTTATTGGAACATACTTTGTGTAAAGTGTGGGGTAGCACAGTGTCAACACTGTGAGGCATTTGGTATTTGGTTCTCCTTTGACTTCACGGGGTGTCTTTTTGTAATTTGGATTGTTGTAACCCCTCATCCGGTCTATCAGTTAAATTCTAGGAAAATTCCTGTTTAAAACCGGGCACATTAGTTCAGTTCCGTTCCGATGGACACACCATTAGACAAATGAATGTTTTGGGTATGCTCTTCGCTGGCCCTGGATTTACTGGAATTGAAAATAATAAATAAAGGAGGACTTCTATATGAGATCTTTTTTGTCAGTTTATTTTTTGTGGGTTTTTTTTTTTTTTTTTTTTTGGTCTCATCCAGGAGAAGAAAAAAAAAGAGATCGGCCAGAGGAAAGGAACTGAACATTCTTCCTCCCTGCCTTACTGAGGGGAGTGGTCACCTACACTAAAGCAAAGGTCTAAATAGAGGTCCATAATCTACTGGAAATTTTATGCACAATTACAAATTTTTGTGGGAAGAAGAAGGTCCATAGCTTCAGATTCTCAAAAAGGACAGTGTTCCAGAAAAACTTGAGAATCAGTGCTTCAAGACTTGACGTCTTTTTAAAAAATAATGCCAGTGCAGGTAGAGAGTAACTGCTTTCTTATTGTTCCTTTTGAATAGTTTATGATATTAGTTGTTTTTTTTTTTTTTTAACAATAGCTTGTTTAATTTTGTATACTAAAATTACTAGCAACAGTGAGGGATATATGCTTAACGTTCTTTTTTTTTTTTTCCAAATTCCTTATCACAGGAAGAATATTTTCCTTGACATTTGGGTGCTTTTATATTCATCTCACAAACAAAATTCTGAACTCAGGACTTGGCAAGTAAGTAATTGTAGGCTAATCATTCCAAATGCTGTTTAAGCAGCTTGAAAACTGATACATAGAAGTGAAACGATAAGCCCTGACCTTCAGCAGAATATGAACGTGAAAAATGACTGTAAGTTGTTGAAATTTAAGTTCAATCTTTTATTTTTCAACAGCAGACATGTATTAAGTAAAAAGGAATAGTCTTGATTATTGGTCCAAACTACCAGCAATTTTTACTGTCTAAAGAAAAAAGACTTGTGTTTCATTAGATTGAAGGAAATCAAATGATAAAAAATAGGCCGGGTGTGGTGGCTCACACCTGTTATACCAGCATTTGGGGAGGCTGAGGTGGGCAGATCAGCTGAGGTCAGGAGTTTGAGACCAGCCTGACCAACATGGGGAAACCTCATCTCTACTAAAAATACGAAAATTAAGCAGGTCTGGTGGCCCATGCCTAAACCCTAGCTACTTGGGAGGCTGAAGCAGGGAAATTGCTTGAACCCCGGAGGCAGAGGTTACAGTGAGCCAAGATCGTGAAACTGCACTGCATCCTGGGCAACAGAGAGTTGAGAGAGAGAGAGAGAGAGAGAGAGAGACTCTGTCTTGAACAAAAATATCAATTAAAAAAAAAAAATGTAGGCAGGGCGCAGTAATCTCAGCACTTTGGGAGCCTGAGTGGGCGGATCACTTGAGGTCAGGAGTTCAAGACTAGCCTGGCCAACATGGTGAAACCCTGTCTTTACTAAAAAAAAAAAAAAATAGAAAAATTAGCCAGATGTGATAAGTCGCACTGTAATTCCAGTTACTTGGGAGACTGAGACAGGAGAATTACTTGAACCCAGGCGTTCAAAGCGGAGGTTGCAATCATTTGAGATCATGCCACTGCACTCCAGCCTGGGCGACAGAGTGAGATTCTGTCTCAAAAAAAATAAAATATTACTAGGTGGTTTTATTTAAATAAATTTTGTGTATGTTTCAGGTATACAGCATGTTATGGGATACATACAGATAGTAAAAAGGTTTCTACAGTGAAGTAAATTAGCATCCATTATGTCACATAGTTTTTTTCTTTTTGAGATGGAGTCTTGCTCTGTCGCCCAGGCTGGAGTGCAGTGGTGCAATCTTGGCTCACTGCAACCTCCGCCTCCCAGGTTCTAGCAATTCTTCTGCCTCAGCTTCCCAAATAGCTGGGATTACAGGCGCACCACCATGCCTGGCTAATTTTTTGTATTTTTAGTAGAGATGGGGTTTCACTGTGTTGGTCAGGCTGGTCTCAAACTCCTGACCTTGTGATCCACCTACCTCGGCCTCCCAAAGTGTTGGGATTACAGGTGTGAGCCACTGCCCCCGGCCTATTGTGTTTTGTTTTGTTTTCGTGGCAACAGCTGAAATCTCATTTAACAGGGATCCTGTTTATAGTACAATTTTGTTACCTATAGCTGTCCTCTGACCTATATCTCTTCATTTTCTAATTGATGAAGGACATCAATTTTTGTTCTCTTTCTGCATATATATATATATTTTTTTTTAATTTTTTTTTTTAATTTTTTATTTTTTAGAAAGAGAAAAAGAATAATAAGGAAAAGAATAAAGAAGAGGAAGAAAGAGAAAGAGGAAGAGGGAGAGAGAATGGGGGTATTGCTTTGTTGCCCGGGCTAGCATGCAGTCTAAATATGGGTATGCCTATAATTGTCCTTAATAATGGAGACATGAAAGAAAATGAGGGAAGACAGTAACAAACAAGGAGCCAACCAACATTTCGTTTAAACTTCTAAGTTGATATGATGTGGTACTGATAAGAGTGTATATTTTGTGTAAAGTGGAGAGTTCTATAAATGTTAATTATGTTTACTTGTTCCTGATCTGAGTTCAAGTCCTGGATATCATTGTTAATTTTCTGTCTCATTGATCTGTCTAATATTAATGTTGAAGTCTCCCACTATTATTGTGTGGGAGTCTAAGTCTCTTTATTAGTCTTGTATGTCTGGGTATTCCTGTATTGGGTGCGTATATATTTAGGACCTTTAACTCTTCTTGTTGTTGCATTGATTCTTTTATCATTATATAATGTCCTTCTTTGCTTCTTTTGATCTTTGTTGCTTTAAATACTATTTTATCAGAGGCAAAAATTGTAACTTCTGCTTTTTATTTATTTATTTTTGCTCTCTGGTTAGTTGGTAAGTCTCTCTCCATCCTTTGTTTTGAGTCTTTGTGTATCCTTGAATGTGAGATGGGTCTGGATGCAGCATACAGTTTTAGTTTTTTGTCCAAATTGGCTGTCTGTCTTTGAATTGGGGAATTTAGTCAATTTAAATTTAGAATTAATAATGATATATGTGAGTTTAATACTGCCATTTGCCCATTAGTTGATGTAAATTCTTCATTATATTGATGTTCTTTACTTTTTGATATTTTTTAGAAAGGCTGATACTGTTTGTTCCTTTCTATGTGTAGTGGTTCTTTCAGAAGCTCTTGTAAAGCAGGCCTGATGGTGATGAATTCTCTGAGTGCTTGCTTGTTCACAAAAAACTTTATTTTTCCTTCACTTATGAAGCTTAGTTTGGCTGGATGTGAAATTCTTGGTTGAAAGTTCTTTTCTTTAAGGATGTTGAATATTGGTCCCCACTCTCTTCTGGCTTGTAGGGTTTCTGCTGAGAGATCTGCTGTAAGTCTGATAGGCTTCCCTTTGTGGGTAACCTGACTTTTCTCTCTGGCTGCCCTTAGTATTTTCTCCTTCATTTCAACCCTGGTGAATCTGACGATTATGTGCCTTGGAGTTGCTCTTCTTGAGGAATATCTTTGTGGTGTTCTCTATCGCCTGGAGTTGAATATTATCCTGCCTTACTAAGTTGGGAAAATTTTCCTGAATAATATCCTGAAGCATATTTTCCAGCTTGGATTCATTCTCTTCGTCACATTCAGGTACACCTATCAAGCGTAGATTAGGTCTTTTCACATAGTCCCATATTTCTTGGAGACTTTGCTCATTCCTTTTTATCCTTTTTTCTCTAATCTTGTCTTCTAGTTTTATTTCATTAAGTTGGTCTTCGACCTCTGATAACCTTTCTTCTGCTTGATCAATTCGGCTGTTAAAACTTGTGCATACTTCACGTAGTTCTTGTATTGTGTTTTTCAGCTCCATCAATTCACTTATTTTCCTCTCTAAATTTTGTATTCTTGTTGACATTTCGTCAAACCTTTTTTCAAAGTTCTTAGTTTCTTTAGATTGTGTTAGAACAAGTTCTTTTAATTCACAGAAGTTTCTTATTATCCACGTTTTGAAGCCTGCTTCTGTAATTGGAACACACTCGTTCTCCATCAAGCCTTGTTTCGTTGCTGATGAGGAACTGGGATCCCCCTGCTGAGGAAGAGGCGTTCTGATATTGGGTATTCTCAGCCTTTTTTGACTGTTTTCTTCCCTTCGTTGTAGATTTATCTATCTGTGGTCTTTATAATTACCGTCTTTGTAATTGGGTTTCTGAGTGGATGTCCAACTTATTGATTCTCAGCGTCGAAATCTGAGCAACCCACTGCACCGACTAAATCAGCGGCGTTAAGATTGGTGGTGCTTTTCTGACTCTGCACCGAGAACCGACACTCTGAGGCGCCGGCAAAACCGCCTCGCCCGTGGGGCTCCTCCGCTGGGAATCTCCTGGTACGTGAGCAACAAGAATTCATGTGAAGGTGTGGCGTCCTCTCGTTCTTTGCGTTTTCACTGGGAGCTACAATCCCGAGCTGCTAGTGATCAGCCATCTTGGATCTCTCTCCTATATATATATTTTTAAATGCACATGTAAATGAGATAGTGCAATATTTTTCTTTTTTTCCCTCCCCCTTCCCTGTGCAATATTTTTCTCTCTGTCCTCCTGACTCATCTGTGTTGTGACAAATGGCAATATCTCTTTATTTTAGACAGTCTTTTTTTTTTTTTTTTTTTTTTTGAGACGGAGTTTTGCTCTTGTTACCCAGGCTGGAGTGCAATGGCGCGATCTCGGCTCACCGCAACCTCCGCCTCCTGGGTTCAGGCAATTCTCCTGCCTCAGCCTCCTGAGTAGCTGGGATTACAGGTATGCGCCACCATGCCCAGCTAATTTTTTGTATTTTTAGTAGAGACGGGGTTTCACCATGTTGACCAGGATGGTCTCGATCTCTTGACCTCGTGATCCACCCACCTCAGCCTCCCAAATTGCTGGGATTACAGGCTTGAGCCACCGCGCCCGGCCAAATTTTAGACAGTCTTGCTCTGTCGCCCATACTGGAGTGCAGTGGCGCCATCTCGGCTCACTGCCACCTCTGCCTCCTTAGTTCCAAGTGATTTTTATGCCACAGCCTCCCGAGTAGCCAGGATTACAGGTGTGTGTCACCTTGCCTAGCTAATTTTTGTATTTTTTTTAGTAGAGACAGGGTTTCACCATGTTGGCCAGGCTGGGCTCGTCACCTCAACCCAAAGTGCTGCGATTACAGGTGTAAACCACTGTGCCTGCCAAGATCTTTCTTCTTTAGGGCTGAGTAACATATTCCATCATATAGACACACTATACTTTCTGCAGTTTATTCATTCATCCATTGATGGACAGTTAGGTTATTTCTGTATCTTGGCTATTGTGAATAATGTTCCATTGAACATAGGCGTGATTTCATATCCTTTGGTTATACGCCCAGAAGAGAGAGTGATCGATTATGTGGTGGTTCTATTTTTAATTTCTTTAGTAATTTCCGTACTGTTTTCCATAATGACTGTTCCAGTCTACACTCCACATATGAACAGTGAACAATAGTTAATTTTTTTCTACAACCAGGCAAATTTCAGAATATCACTATTATATTTATTTAAATTTTAATTATAGGGAAATACTGATATTTTCATCTTTCTTTATTTTTCTTCTTTTTTGGGACAGAGTTTCGCTCTGTCACCCAGGCTAGAGTGCAGTGCCAGGATACCGGCTCACTGCAACCTCCACCTCCCGGGTTCAAGCGATTCTCAGCCTCTTTAATAGCTGGGATTACAGACGCAC